TTGTTGCTTGGGCATTACCACGAAAGCCATTACCAATCTTTGAAAATGATAAATGAAAGGGATTAACATTTAGTGACTATCATTATCATGCTGGTGATTATCAAGCTTACGTGAGGGATCATTACTGTCTACTATGGGTGGTAGGTGTTTATGTACTGATGGCACTTCCATCTTGTCAATGTCAAGATTATCCTTGGAAACAACTGTTGAAAATTACCATGAAGTTGTGATGACATATATTGCAATATATTTATTAAATAAAATTTGAAATATAGTAATTGTTTCATAATCAATTTGTACCCCCCCCCCGGTCTTTGCCAAAAAAAAGTTCAGGTTTTCTTTCCGGACCCCACTAGCATCCCTGGTCATTGTGCACATTGTATTGGCGATTTCCATTCTACTTACATAAGTAAGTAATATTCATTGCTCTTCATAATGTTTTGGCATATGTCAGTCCTCGTTCATTTTAATGTGCAGCAATGTGTGCTAAACACAAATGCAATCTCTACTGTAATACATAATATAACAATGGGTGGGGATTTACTCTAGTTCCAGTTATTTCAATACCCTTTTGATAACTCCCATTTCTCTCATTGAACTCTAAGGTGATTCAAATACATATTTAATTACTAGAAATAGTTGTTTGAGTTACTTATTTTAAGACACCAGAACATGACCTTTCCCTTGTACTTTGGTTTCAGACGTAAGAAAAATTACCAGGAAACGGCCACCAAGGGGTCCGATGACAATATATCACAGCCTTTACTACTTATGGAGTTGTATGGTAAGTGAGAAAGATTTTTGTCTGTTTTTATTTATTTTAATTCTTTTTTTTAAACCTTTTTCCAGGGGAGGGTGTGAGAGTTGTGAGGGAGGCATGAATCTTATGGACAGTATTCTGAAAACCACATTATTCACTTCTTTTGTGTTAAATTTTATTTGTTTGCTGAGATGAAATGTGAAAAAAAAAGAAGTAAGCACTTTGTACAAATGATATGGTTGAATACTTGGTTATTAAGCCCAATAAAAACTTTGCTGAAATGATCCATAAAAGTGTCATTCTAAAATGAAAAGAATTTGAAGGTCTGCCAATGCAGTATTTACTAATGACAATGGTTCCTAGGTCTTTCTGGAACTTGAATTGTCAACCATTTTACCTGAAATAGTTTTTTTTTCTTGATAACTAAACCTCAGCTAGGGATTTTACTGTTTTTACTGATTTATTTTTTCAGGAAGAAGCAATTACGAAAGTGTCAGCATTGAGAACTGGGCAGACCATGTAAGGAAGATGCATGCTGATGGGGATCTACGTTTCTCTGAGGAATATGATGTATGTTCACATATGTATATGTGTATTAATGTTCATGGTTGTGAGTGTGTGTGTGTGTGTTAGAGTGTGCGTGTGTGTGTGTGTGTTAGTGTGTGTGTGTTAGTGTGTGTGTTAGTGTGTGTGTGTATTTGTGTGTGTGTGTGTGTTAGTGTGTGTGTGTGTGTGTGTGTGTTAGTGTGTGTGTGTGTGTGTGTTAGTGTGTGTGGGGGGGGTATGTGTGCAAGTATTGAAACATTGCCTGAAACACATGTATGTGCATCTGTATTTATATTTGCTGGGAAAGGATGTAAAAGAGTTGTGTTCATTAAATGTATGAAAGAAAGAGAGGAAGGAAAAAGATAAAAGACCTTTCAAGATTTTTTTTCTGCTGTAGGACATCAACAACAGTGTGAACAAGAATATCACTCAGGACGCGGCATATATGGATGAGAACAAGCCTAAGAACAGATACGTCAACATTTTGCCATGTGAGTTGTAGCAGTGGTTTCAGTTTGATTATTTACTAACTGTTATAACTTAAACAGTTCTATTGTGACAAATTTAAATAATGTATAACAATATAACAAAATAAAATCTTTTTGGCATTCCTCCCTCTTATTGATAACAATTGATGTACAGTAACAATTTTTCATTTGAAAATTAAGTGTTCATCTGAAAATAAAATCGTTATTTTCATTATTTATACAACAAAACTTACTATGATATCATAAATATTTTTTTCTTGAGAAAAAAGCATTTCTAAATGATTTCTACCATCTGCCACGAGATATATGAGATGTTGTAAAACGTACAAGATACTGAATTACATATGCTCCTTATGTTTACAGGGATAACGACTCTTCTTATGATAATATCCATATTTCACAATAAATACATTGTTAACAACTCATAGAAATATAATAAATTCTATTTTACCACCAAAAGGCAGTTGACATAATTATTATGGAATTTGTACTTGCCATCACATCACTTGACCTCTATAGATGGCTACATTGTAATAATCTCTTAAGAGAATATCACAAAAAACCAAACTTTTTAGAAAAAAACAGGGACTAACTTTGAATATCGGAATGGATTCATTAACCATTGGTTAGCATGGGAAAGTTGTATTTTACCCCAGGGCCAAATTGAACAGTTGTTATCCCTTTAAATTATATTAATTTTGTTGGAGTCTAGATGGTAGCTATATCTACATGAGTTTATGCAAGTGTTTTGTGCTGTTGTCAAGATATTGTTTTTCTCCTTTTCAGTTGACCATACCCGGGTAGTGCTAAAGCCAATGTCCAAACATAATGACTACATTAATGCCAACTTTGTTGATGTAAGTGGACACTCGCAGCTCTCTCTGTCACTGTGTGTTTTCATCTTTGATTTGTAATTCAAATTAAAAAGGTTGTCTAATGTAATTGAAGTAATTTTAAATATGGATTATATCTTATTTCATTTGACAGAACTTTTCATGGTTTTATTATTAGTTATTCAAGCAAGAAGAGAGCTCTGAATCATTTTGATTTTTCGGTGATTAAATATACTTCTCTTTGGTCATTTATTTATTTTGTTCCATGAATTTATCCAAATAAGGAAATGTGCATTATATATATATATTTTACGCCAGGGTTACCACAAAGCCAAAGCCTATATAGCTACCCAAGGTCCACTGCCTAATACATTTGAGGACTTCTGGAGAATGGTGTGGGATCAAAACTCTGTCATTGTAGTTATGATTACAAACCTGGAAGAGAAAGGAAGGGTAAGTGAAATAAAGACTAGACTGGCTTTCTGAAGGTCTAGTGGACATTATTTGTGAGAAAAAGATGGTTTTTGATGTCGAAAAATCCTAGACACCTGTGGGATATTAACACATATTATTAACTAAATGCAGCTACTTGTTTGTGCACATGTATATACAAAAAAATTGTTGCAGTTGAGAAACGGATAATTAGCTGGCTCTCAAGATGATTGTGAAAAGAGACTTTTAATATTATCTAGTTGTCTACTTGAGCTAGTCATTTTTTGCTTTCTGTAGAGGAAGTGTGACAAATATTGGCCAAATGAGGTGGGACACACTGAGACTTATGGGAATATGCAAGTGGAGTACCTGGATGAAGACGAGCGTGCATGCTACACCATACGCAAATTCTGTCTGCGAAATCAAAAAGCTAAAAGAGTTAGCACAAGAGTGGTAAGTCATAGTCAAAATTGCAAAATGATGAATTGTTTTATGCATGTGTTTGTTATGTTTGAGTTCTGAAAAATTGGGTGGAACTGGCTGGCGTGATTGACAGTTCCCATTCAGGCTGTCTGTCAATCAGTGTGTGGATCGCCCTTCTTGATTGGCAATTGGCCTTAATGGGAGAATGTCAATCAACATGGGTAGGTCCTCCCATTTTCAAAGCTTTGATTTAGTCTGCTATTTTAGTCTTCTGTTTAGGTTGGGTCCCTCAAAGAATCAATAATTATAATAGGAGACGATAAAAAATTGTGGAGACAAATCTCATCATCTGCTTCATCATCCAGAAATGAAAAGTTTAAAAGAATAAATTTTCATTGTAAGAATGGCTGAAGTCTTATTAACTTATTTTTGATGCTGACAATTATACTTAATCATATTTTCATTGGATAATAAGGTCATTGAAGATTTTATTACAAGCCATTGAGTCCCTGCAGAGTCCCTTGAGTCCATTGAGTCCCTGCCTTACTTGGCAAACTCTTATTCAACCATCAGCTAAAACCACTCGTATCATATATCATGATCCCTCTGTGTTCTAGAAACATTCCGCATTTGAGCGTATTATCTACCAGTATCACTACACGGACTGGCCAGACCACGGGGTCCCAGACTACACACTACCCGTGTTGACGCTGGTCCAGAAATCGTCGCGTCATAATCCTGAAGGGGCAGGCCCTATCATTGTACACTGCAGGTAAGGGACATTCTCATATATATGCCTTATGCTGATGTGTGCAGTCTTTTTCAATGCATTTCAGTTTTCACAATTATGAACTGAGGTAAACTATCAGTGACTTGTATTATCCTCTGTTATCATACCAAGTAAGTAAAAAAGTTGTCTAGCAAGATTCTTAATATTACGTGGTATATATATATATATGTATACATATATTTTATTTCATTATTATTATTATTATTATTCATTATTATTTCATATTGCTATTATCTCTTTTTCAGTGCTGGAGTTGGTAGAACTGGCACGTACATAGTTTTAGACAGTATGATACGACAGATTCTAGACAAGCGAACTGTGAACGTGTGCGGTTTCCTCACACACATCAGGCACCAGAGGAGTTTCTTGGTGCAGACAGAGGTGGGTTGCAATCACAACCGTCACACCTAACACACTCCCCAGTTACACTTCATTATGTTGACAGTAGAATTCGGCACAACACAACACTCACATATACGACAATTACACCAGATGGAGATACTTGTCCTATCTAATTCAACAGTAGTACTTTACATGCTCATGCATTTGCCACTCAAATCTAGCACACTCATCACTTACAAATCATTACTAACACGGACACACACTGCTGTCCAGCCTTACATTCTGAACACAATCTGATGGTTTACTTATCTGCAGGCCCAAAGTTTATTTATCAGCTTTGCCTCACAAATATTCCAACAGGGTAAAGATTAAAACCATGTCACGTATCCAGACCCCAGAGCTAAAAATTTGATATCTTTCACAAACCTGAGCTTTTACCTGAGATTTACCTGAGCTTTGATTGATATTAACTTCATTTTCACTACTTCTGTTGGTTTGTTTTTTCCTCAGGACCAGTACATTTTCATTCATGATGCCTTGTTGGAGTACATTCAAAAAGATGGTGACACAGAGGTTCTTAATTGTAAACTTAAAGAATTTGTAGAAGAAAATCTGACATTTTGCAATGCAGAAGGAGAGTGTTTACTTGACAGGCAATATCAGGTATTAGTCAATCTGTTATCTTGTGGTTAAATTATTATTAAACTTTTGTGGGAAAGCTTTAACAATGAATAACCTTCTTTTAAAAGTGTATGTATACCTGACAATAAATTGTATTAATTTTATACCATCAATATTGACTCTGTCCAATGTTCTTTCACTTTTTGCCAGTATTTTATAAAGTCCATGCGAATTTTAAATTGCAGCTAGTAACAGAATACAAACCAAAAGACCACGAGTTTTCTCCTGCACATATGATATATAATAAGAACAAAAATAGGTCTGAAAGGCTTTTGCCAGGTAAGCAGTTATGGTTTGAATGAAAGGATATTGATTGGGTACCTGCTGTTGAGTGGGTGTAGTTTGAAAATATAAAGTTAATGATTGGATATTTCTCATTGTTTTTTTTTTTTTTAATTGAAAACATTATGCTTACTAAGGATTAAAGTCAAGTGTGAATAACTGGAGATTTATAGGAGGATACATTAATTTTTTTGCAGGTGTTTGTTAATTTAGGTAATTAATGAATTCATTGTTCTTTGATAAAGGCAGTCACAAAGACTGCAGGATAACTATTATAGCACAATTCCCCATAATTTAAAGTAATGACATCATGGTACGTTTTGCTAAACAACAATTAACTTTAACTGAAAACAAAATTTGTCTTCCAGTGGACAAGAGTAGAGTTCATCTCCCAAAGCAGCCTGGCATAGACGGGTCAGACTACATCAATGCAACGTTCCTGCAGGTGATTATCTGGTCCCTTTTGGTTTTCACACAGTTGTTAGCATTTGTCTTATCATCTTCTTATCTTCAAGATGAGTATTACATTTGGTGGTGCAATGCAGACACTAGGCAAAGGGGGGGGGGGGGGGAGTTCAGTGTACATTAACACCTTTGTGTGAAAAATGTATGTGTTTTTATTCATTTCTGTTAATTTAAAAAAGCATGTAAGTGGACACCTTTATCCCACTTATTTCTGATTTATTTGTCTTATTTTTATTTTAATTTATAGTGTTTTTTTCTTAATTTCAGGGCTATTTCAAAATCAATGAGTTTGTGATCACCCAGCACCCCCTGGGGACCACCCAGGAAGACTTCTGGAGGATGGTCTGGGACCAGAACTCAGCCACCATTGTGATGCTCTCGGAGGTCACTAAAGATGGGGTCAGTGAAATAGAGATGAAAATCTTCCAGATTTATTATTGAATTTTGATTGTTTTTTATCACTTTCATCTTTGGTAAAAGTCTGCTTAGCCAGACACGTAAATCAGACAAGTAGAAGGCTACAAATAGTTCCCATTGTTACAGTGTTATTTGACCCTCTGTAATTGGCAGACTATATGTGAAAGCAGATTTTAAAAGGATCAACTGATAAATGTGCATTAGGATTGATTAATGATTATTTTTGAAGACATTGTGAAAGGAATCATTTTGGTGTTCATTTTCCAACAGTGCCCCATGTCTTGGTGTCACCATTAGTAAGTGTATCTGCAAGCACAATGTGTCCGGTGAAAAGAAAAGAAGTAGGTGATGAAGGTCGCTATTTGTGCTAACAGATTCTGTTGAGTACAGTAGATCGCCATTTGATAGTTTGACACACACGCATACCCACAGAGAGAGAGAGAGAGATAGGGGCTATGTTGGTGCAATCAATGCCAGGTCCACAATGGTCTGGTTCACATCCTTAGAAGTTGATATTTAATTTTCTGTTTTCCAGGAATTTCCTGAATTTTGGCAAGGCAAGGATGAAACCCAAGAAATAGACAGTGGAAACTTCAAGGTGACTCAGACTGGGGAGGATTTCTCCCAGATTCACAACATTACCAGAGATTTCCTGATTGAGTCTAAACAGGTGGGTGTGGGTGTTCAAAAAAGTATGCTTATTATCCATTATCTTTACTTTATTACATCACATTGCAGTTTCAATATTAATTGCTTGTAATCAATAGACCAGGCCCCGTTTTCACAAAAAAAAAAAAAAAAAAAAGTCAGGTTCCTTGGCTAAGAACTTAATTACCAAGGTTACATGGTCATATGGACAAGTCTTACCCTATCAGGAGCAGTGTAACAGCACTCCCATGGAAATCCTAAACAACTAAGCCAGGGAACTGACTTAATTTTTTTTTTTT